GAACGCAAATGGAATAAACACATACTCGGTTGAAGCAAATACTCCATCTAAAAGCAGGCAGAAAAAGAGAAAAAGGGAACACAGAACAAATGGGACAAATAGCAAAATGGTAGGAAAAACCCATTCCTGCCCATAACCACATTAAAGGAAATAGTCTACACACTCCAGTTAAAAACAAGACCAAGTATATATGCTGTCGACAAGAAACTCGTTTCAAATGTGAAGACACAAGGCAAAGAGAAAGGACAGGAAAATATATACAGTGCTAACACTAATCAGGAGAAAGCTGGAATGCCTATATCCATAGCAGACAAAGAAGATCTCAGAGCAAAGAACACAACCAGGGGTAAAGAGGGACATTTCACACAACGAAGGGTCAGTTCGTTCAGAGGACATGACAGTTTTAAATGTTCACACGTGTAAAAGTGGTCTTGGAGGACTGTGCTGTCGACAAGGAAGGGGCTGACAAGGTTTTATATGCTTAGTGGTTGAAGGGAGTAGAGAGAGTTGATAAAGATGACGACGCTGTGGGAGTCCAGAAAAGAATGTGGCCGTTAAATTGAGGGAATCCTAGAATATATTTTCCAAAAAGACCTTTCTTAGGATGGCTCTGTGAAGCTCAACCTTGCAGCAAAGGATATTTTATTGCACAAGATTCTGTTGGAATAGTGATGCCGACAAAACCGAGTAGTTGATTAATAATGAAAAATGTGTTTATAGATAAACTCCATGTGTGCTTAGAGTGAGCCGTGGTTGAGTAACTTCCACATTTGGCAGAATCCAGGCAAGTTTACGTCATTTGCTCGTGGAGCTCATGGTTATTTTATGCACTTGGAGAGGCAGCCGCACATCCCGCACTTTCCCAGCATAATTCCAGCCCAGCCTCATCACATACCAAGTGGCTTTGGACCAGTTGTTTAACCACTCGGAGCTTCTGTTCTCTTTTGTAAATGAGGATAATGATGTTCCTCCCAAAATGGAAGTGAGCACTCAATGAGAGGAGACAAATGAAAATGTCTCACTCTCAAAAGCTCTGTGAAAATTGCAAATTTTGTTTCTCTCGTGACTGTTTATTGTGACGTCTCTGAACAAAGGCAAACACACATAACGCAGAAGTGCTTGGAGGAGGCACATCTTGGAGTATGCCTGTCTCCTATTGAATGTGTATTCAGCGTTTTCTGCAGCATCTCTGTTTCTTCTGAGAGTGGGGAGGACTTGCCAAAAGATTTGCCAGGGGAATGTGTCGTGGAGCCGTGTGTGACCCGCGGATCCCCTTGGTTTATCGTAATTCTTAGAAAAGAACGCTGTTTTACGTCTGAAGCGACATTTAACTTGAAGAAAGCTCCGCTTCTGTTTGTCATCACCTACCTAGCCTGCTGGCGGTTTCAAAGTCTTGCAAAGCAGCCTACATGCATTACTTTCTTCTGACTGTATTTTTTAGTACTGAATGATGCTTTATGGTAAGATCCTAAGTTCAAAGCACTTGGATTGCCGAGAGAAGAAACGTGAAAGAGCTTTATCTGTTTTGGGTAACAGGAAGTTGTAGGAAGTAGGATTAGATTTTTGGAGGAGCAACAGAGGGAATTTGCACTATTAGTAGATTGTAAACATGCTTTACAACATGGCAGGCCTTCTAGAACACATGAAAGGTAAAAATGATTGGCCTATTTCCAGCCTTCTGTGTGGCTTTTCCCCTTTCGTCTGTCCAACAGTCCTGTGCAGTAGGTAATGTTATCTTCCGTTTTGTAGATGAAGAGACAGGCCCACAGCTTAAAGTAACTTGCCCAAGACCTTCTGCTAGCAAGTGGTAGAGCTGGATTTGAACTCAAATAACCACAGACTGTTATTTCTGTCCAATCATTTCTCAGGGAACTTTGAAAAATAAAATCAGTGGGAATTGGAGCAGGACGTTATCCAGTATGATGCAGACAGTAATTATTTTCTTGGATACATATTGGCAGGGAAAGAAGTGGGTGGGAATGATGAAAAGAATTTGGGTAAGAAGAAAGTCATCCCAGGTACAGAAAAGTTTCTGTTTCTGATAGAAGAGTGTAAGTTCCTGTAGACAGACTGGTTCTCAGACTTGAGCGTATATCCCAAGTTTCTGTTGCCCCAAAATCTGCATTTCTAACAAGCCCCCAGGTGATGCTGCAGCTGCTGGGGCTTCTGGTCTGAAGACCACTTGGAAAACTTGGATATCATGCTGTAGACCATTTGAGAAAGGTGGAGACACACAGCCAGTGTGTGTAAGAGGAATTCATCTGGGTAGCAGCATCCAGGGAGCTGGAGAGAGAAGGGTGTGTAGGTAGATCAAGGTTTTTAGCAAGTGTAGGATAGTTAAGCTCACGTTTGATAATGATGGAAAGTAAAGCATCAGTGCTCACTGCGGCTGGAAGAGGGTGGTGTGAGGAAGGATGTAAAATACAAGTTAGTGGCTGTTTTCAGATCTTGCTGGCATCTAGAACAGTGCCCCGTATATAACATGCTCAGTAATTTTCTGCCTGATAGCTCACGCTTGCTAGAATGGCTGTCATCAAAGACCAGGGATGACAGATGCTGGTGAGGATGTGGAGAGAAAGGCGCCCTTGTGCATTGTCGGTGGGAATGTAAATTTATGCAACCAGTGGAAAACGGTTTGGAGGTTCCCCAAAAAATGAAATCTAGAACTCTAGATTTCATATGGTCCAGCAATTCCACTTCTGGGTATATGTCCAGAGGAGATGAACTCACTGTCCCGAAGAACCGTCCGCACCCCACGTGCACCGCAGCATTGGCATTATTCATGACAGCCAAGACGTGGAAACAGCCTGAGTGTCCATTGACAGTCGAACAGATAAAGAAATTGTGGTATACGTGTCCAACGGAATACTATTCAGCCATGAAAATTCCGCTATTGGCAACAACATGGGTGAACCTTGAGGGCGTTATGCTAAGTGAAATAAGTCCGAGGAAAAACACATACTGTATGATCTCACTTATGTGTGGAATCTAAAAACAAACAAACAAACAAAACCCTCAGAAACAGCAGATTTGTGATTCCTGGGGACGGAGGTGTGGGAAAAATCGGTAAAGGTGGTCAAAAGGTGTCCAAACTTCCAGTTAGAAGATAAGTTCTGGGGATCTAACCTACAACACGACGACCACAGTTAATACCGTACCGTATATTTGAAAGTTGCTAAGAGAGTAGATTTTAAAAGTTCTCATTCTAAGGAAGAAGAAATTTGTTAACTGTGTGAGGTGATGGGTATTAACTAATAATGTACTATGGTAATCATTTTACAGTGTATGCATATATCAGATTGTTGTGTCGTACAACTTATATGTCAACTATAATCAATAAAACTGGGAAAAATTATTTGTTGCATGAATGGACAATTAAGAGAATGAATTAGGAGCGCCATATGTGCAAAGTATTCAGCAATTGATGTGTGTCCTGCTATTGTTAATTGTCTCATAAAAACATTTTATAAAATTTATCTTTTTAGTAAAAATAATTTTAGGGAAAATCTTCAGAATATACAAGTGGATATATAGTAAAATGCCCTCCTACTCTTGTCCCTTCTCTTTGGTTTCTTTCCTTCAATGCCAAGCACTGGTAACAGTTTCTGTGTATCCTTCCATACACGAGGATAGTCTGTGTATACGTTTGTGTGTGTGTGTGTAAATTTTTTAAAACACGAAAGTAGTATAACCTGCTATACCACTACTCTGTCCTTCACTTTTTTCATTTAATAATATATTTTGTTGATCTTTCAGATAGCTTATATATAAGTCTGACACAGTCTTTTTAACTCCTCATTTTATTTAAATTTCAAACTGTGGTGCACATTTAGATAGCTTCTAATCTTTTGACATAATGAAAAACATTTCAGCGACTATCCTATAGACATTCGTAATTTGGTACATTATCATCAAATTGCCTCCCAAGTTGGGTGAATTAGTTTATATCTCCACCAACAATTTAAGATAGAGCCTAGGGTGCCTGGGTGGCTTTGTCAGTGAAGCATCTGACTCAGTCAGTTTTGGCTCAGGTCATGATCTCATGGTTTGGTTGTGAGATCGAGCCCCAGGTCGGGCTCTGCACTGACAGCGTGGGGCCTGCTTGGGATTCTCTCTCCACCCCCGCTCTCTGCCCCTCTCCCCCCTCAAAATAAATAAGCATTTAAAAAAATAGAGCCTATTTCCCTATAGCCTTAACAACAAAATGTTTTACGAAATTTTTCATCTTTGTCAATTTGATGGATGAAAAATAATATTCTGTTACTGTTTTTGTGTTTTCACTAGTGTTTTATTTTTTTTCTTTATCACGGCTTGCCTGTGAAGGGGAGGGAGGCAGAGGAGCAGAGGCTGAAGAGGGACACAGAATCCAGAAGCAGGCTCCAGGCTCTGGGCTGTGGCCTGGGGAGCCCAGATGCTGAGGGCTGGAATGCATGAACCATGGAATCATGACCTGAGTTATCAAATCCTCATGAGCTAAGGCCACCCAGGTGCCAGCTATTTTCCTGGTGTAGGTAAAGATTTTTTGCATTTTTCTTACGTTTGTACATCAGTTGTATTTCTTTTTTTTTTTTAATTTTTTTTTTTTAACATTTATTTTTTTTTGAGACAGAGAGACACAGAGCATGAACGGGGAAGGGGCAGAGAGAGGGCCACAGAAGTCAGAAAGGCTCCAGGCTCTGGCGGTCAGCCAAGTGACAGGGGCTAGAACCTCTGGTTCAGAGATCAGCCTGAGCCAGTGGGACAGCAACCAACCAGGCCACCCAGCTAGTTGTATTTCTTTTACTGTGACCAGCATGCTCTTGTCCTTTGCTCACTTTCCAATTGCTTTTTTTTTTTTCCTTATTGGACCTTAGAAGCTCATTGTTAAGGAAATCGGCCCTGTGTTGTATGTGATGCAAATTTGTCATTTACCTTTTAACTTTCTTTATATTGCATGATTACTTTATAATTGTGCGTTTTAAGCGAATCTAAAGTTACCTGCGCTGTTTTTCTCTACGTAGGGTTTCTTAATATCTGGGATCTAAGGACCGGAAAGTATCCCATCCATCGTTTTGAGCATGACGCAAGAATACAGGCACTAGCCCTCAGCCAGGAAGATGCAACGGTTGCCACAGCTTCCGCTTTTGATGTTGTAATGTTGCGCCCCAACGACGAGGGCTACTGGCAGATCGCGGCAGAGTTCGAAGTTCAGAAACTGGTGAGCTTTTTAGTCCAGTCATTTGATTCTCCATTCTTAGAACCTCTGGGTCCGATCAAACAGATAGCAATGACGTTGGCAGCTCCCATTCCCTCGGGGCTTCCTGGGGGCCTTACATTTCTAAATCTCACTGCAGCCTTGCAAAATAGGTAGATAGTATTCTTTTCCCCCATTTACCAAAAAGCCCATAGAGGCTGAGAGCAGTGTATCGCCTTGCCCCGGATCTCAGAGCTAAGGAGCTGAGATTCAGATCTCGGGGCTGACCTCCAGGCCAGGGGTTTCTCGTCACTGTGGTCCTCAGCCTCCTTCACCTAAAATGAGATGTTCGCCTCTGGAAATGGGAGCTCGGTTTCTGGCCCATCCTGTCAGTGAAAATGATGAAAATGAATTCAGTGGTACCTTCCCAGTCCATATGGGAGGGAAGATTTCCGTCCTACACTTTCTTCCGCCTCAGATTTTCTCACCTGGAACTAAGAGTAACTCCTGAGTGAAAACAAGTTTAAGTCAGTGTTAATTGGGCAGCCGAGTTCCAGGATGTCATGCGTGAAGCTCAGCCAACCTGAAGCGTTCTTTATGTCGAGCTTATCTCCATACTCAGTTACACGTGAGCCTCCACTTTTATACGGTGGGAGGTGATTCCGCGGTAAGAAGGAAGTGCTCAAATCTGCGCTAAATTTGGATTTAATGTAAACAAACTCGATTTTGGCACTAGTAGAGTGAGCAGAAAAGCCAGTGTTGAATAACGAATTGGTGGTCTGATCCGGAACAGATCCTGTTTTTCTGCCTTTTCCCCCTGGTGGAGATCTTGTTAGCCTTGAGTAACTAAAAAGCCATGATGTCAGCACTTCGCCTGCGTAAGCTTCTTGTCCCTTTAATGACCAGTTTCTGCCCTGTGGGTGGTGTTCCCCCCAAACCGTCTGATGCTCCTCTCGGGGGTTTTACTAGAAAAATGTGAAGTACCATCTTTCTTTGTTCTCAAAACTACCGTAGTGCTTATTATTTGGTGTCTGCCTAAAGAACATTCTAGACCAGCAATAATTATACGAATGCAGACAGTTACTTAAGATGTGAGTTCCTCCGTAAAGGGTAAATCCTGCCTTGGCAATAAAGTGGCATCCTGGCACCCACTGGAAGCTTTTTGAAGGAGTTTACAGCTTCTGGCAAATGGCACCACCACACTCAGTCTGAGCCTCTTGGTCTGTCAGAAGTCCAACAATAAAGTGAAACTAAACAGCTAGGCTGAGGATGTTAATTTTAGGGAAATAAGAAATGACTTTTAGAATGGGAGGGAGAGAAAGCAAGCCACAACTGCTTGGCAGCATAGGCCTCATTTCTCATCTCGGATGAGGGGCTGCCGTGCCTCCCTGAAAAAGGTTCCCCCAGCCCATGAGAGCCACTTTTGTCTTCCCAGGTGGGCTCCCCGAATCCCAATGGCCATCTTCCCTGGGTTGCAGCACTGGCCTAGCCCTTCCGTCCTTCCTTTGTGATGAGTCCTCAGCTGGGCAGGTTGGGGGTGGGGCACCACTCACACTCACACTCTTGGGCCCGAGGATTAACAGCAGAGGCCCCCGGATGTATACTGTCCCTCCAGCTCCTCTGGACAGTCCTTAGGATTCAGGCTTTTGAACTCGTTTGGCTTCTTGTCAGGGCCACGCTGTCCTTTCACGCGGTGGTTTTCACGATTACACAGTTTGGCACACCTGCTTTTGTACGCTGAGATTTTACTCAAGGAGGTGAAAACCTGGTGTGAAATGTGCTCGGGAGAAATGTGCCACTTAGGGAAGTAGAAAAGCAAGTGATGCCTGAGGGGAGCGCCTCGTTGCCGTGCAGATCAGAGGCAGCGGTCGCGCTAGTGCGGTCAGGAGTACCGTGGCGGTGGTATCATACCCTCGATGACCTAGAAACAGCAGAGGATGGATAACGCCGCTCTTTTTAGCCTTTTAGCTGCACATTTCTGGTACCTGCACAAATGCTAAAATGTGAATTTTGCTGATTGGGAACCGAGGGGATTTGATTCAGTTTCTTGTAAAAAAAGAAAACAAGGAAACTTAATATCTTGAATAGTTCTTATACTCTCATGTTTCAGAATTTAAAAGGCAGTAAGGTTTATGGGAGAAATCTCTCTTCCACCCCATCAAAGAACTCTGTTCCCTCTTTGCAGGCAGCCATCCTTAGCAGATTTACGCTTGCACAAGCCACGCACACCGTGTTCCCTCTGCCCCCCTCCACGCACGTTAGTGCACTGTGAATCCTGCTACTCCCCTTCCTTGCTTTTTGTCCCCAAATTTATCTTGGAGATGATTCCATTTTGTATCATGCTTTTTTCTGAGACTACATGGTATTCCTGTTAATTAGCCCCTTAGTAAGGCGTGTGTAGTAGGTGTTTCCAGTTTTTAGCTATGACAGCATCGTGCTACAGCAGGTAACCTTGTATGCAGTGCGTGTGTGTGTGTGTGTGTGTGTGTGTGTGTGTGTGTGTTTATTTGTAAGTAAATTCCTAGGACTGACTTGCTGGTTCAGTGCGTATGTGCGTTTGACATCGTGTAAGTATTGCCAGATTTCCCTCTAGAGAAGTTGGACTCGATTACATCCCACCAACCGTAAGTGGGATCCACAAATATGGTTGTCTCCCCTCTACTTCCAGACCGGTGTCCTATCAAGCTAATGGATTTTACTGCTATGACTGGTAAAAATGGTATCTCGGTGAATTTTTACTTCGTATTTCTCTTATTAGGAACATACTGTGTTTCTTTTACAAAGAGCATCTCTTTATTAGTGTAGGAACTGTGTTCTCCTTTCCTATGAGCTGTTTCTTTGCCCATCTTTTTCTGTTAGGTCGCTGGTCTTAGTGACCTCTGGGAGGCATCGTGTGTTTTTTGACCAAGTAAGGATGAGCTGGAGGTGAGACCTGACAGACTGTGTAACTCTTCCCCATTCACAGGTTGACTACCTTGAAATCGTTCCAGATACCGGAAGGTATCCTGTGGCAGTGGCCACAGCTGGAGATCTGGTGTACCTGCTGAAAGCTGAAGACTCTGCCAGAACCCTCCATTACGTCTATGGCCAGCCGGTCACGTGTCTGGATGTCTCAGCCAACCAGGCTGCTTTTGGTGTGAAGAGTCTGGGATGGGTATACGAAGGAAACAAGGTACAGAAATAGTAGGGTGTATAATCAACGAAAAAGAACGTCGGTTTTTATTTTTTAGAAGGCAATTAAAAAATTAAGGCTCTCTGATATTATATATTTTTAAGATGTATTCAGACCATATACATTTAGCATGGTAAAAAAAAAAAAACAAAAAAAACCAAAAAACAGACCCTGAAGCTCTTCTAAAGGATGTAAAATGGAAAGTAATTGTCTCCTTTCTCCTCCCTTCCCCCAGCCCCATTCCACAGAAGAAACTAAGCATTTTTTAGGTATCAAGAAAAATTTAATGTGTTTAGAAGTACATTTATGCACCAAAAACCATATTTGTGGAAATGCGATTATAGTATACATCTGTTCTGTACCCAACATTTTTATTCAGTAATAAGCCTTGGAGGGCATTCCACGTCACCACATACCATGCTCCGTCTCGCTAGGATTCTGGCGTAGGCTTACAACCCATGGTCTGTGTATCTAGCCCCCTCGCTGGTGGGCATTTAGGTCACTTTCACTGTCTCAGCGATTACAGGCAGTGCTACGATGCATATTGCAACTCTTGCGAGTCCTTGTGTGGTCGATCTCTGGGATAGATTCCCAGCGGTTGTGTTGCCTGGGCAGAAGGTATACACTCGGGATGGTGGTAAGGGTTGCAGCAAGACTTGCATTCTCACCAGTAGTGCATAAAAGTGCCTTCTGATCATCCTTGAGCCAGAATTAAGGAGACAAGTTTGTAATTGAAATTCTTTGCATGATGACTAAATTTTATCACTACCTAGCATTTTACTAGCCTGACTGTAAGCCAAGTAGTTAGTCTTAAACTTGATTTGTAGAACTCTCTCTCTTCCAGTGGAATCGGGAGAAAGGGATTCAGTTTTTTTATTTTGTTTTGCTTTGTTTTTCTCCAATTTTCCTGCTCTTGACCCTGCTGCCTATGGGTACAGTCCCTGGGAAGGAACTTCCCTGAGCCAGCGGCTCCTCTGACAGCACCCTCCTCCTTCGGGAAGGAAGCCCTTCTCCACAGAGCAGCACAGGAGCTGGAGGAGCCGACTCTGGATGCACACAGCCTGAGTTTCAGTACCAGCTCGGTAGTAACCTACCGCCCTGTGTGACCTTAAGCAGGTGGCTTAACCCTCTTCATGCCCCAGGGAGTTCAGAACAGTGGCTACTTGGTAAAATTGTAGGGTTAAATGAAAACCTGTCTGTGAAGCTTTAAGCGTGGTGCCTGGCGAGCGAGCATTACCATCACGGCGCTTTTATTTCCTCCCCTCATAGTTTAAGTCTGGCCTCTGGTTGTGGTTTTTACATACTGTTTCCCCTTTGTGTAGCCCCCTGTGAGGTCAGATCTCATTCATTTAGATGTTCACTGGTTTTGCAACTTAGTAAGTGCTCAAAGAATTGAAGCATCCTGGATTCCACGGACCTCTTCTTCGTTCAGGAAGAGGCAATAAAGTGGCAGAAAATATGTGTGGCTTATTGTAACCTCACTGTGACAACGGACTCCCTTTGTGCTCAAGTTGGCCTGTTTTGTTGGAGCACATTCACAGCTTAGCTGGCGAGATCGACGATGATAGAATTGTGCTGTGCCTTCCTAGGAAGTGGGGGAGGGGACCACAGTTGGTGTCCTAAGGCAGTTTCCTTTCTCCGGCTTTGAGAACACCTTCTTTTCTGGTCCCCACTGAGCTCATTTGTTGAGAGAAGAGAGACTGTTTGCTTTCTGACTTTTCATCCATCATACTTTCAGGCTTTGGTTCTCATTTATTTCTCAAGTTCTCGGCGTAGTGAGATGATAGTTATATTTAGCACTAGCCTGGTTTAAATTTGTCATACTTTAATAAATTTTTCATAAACAGGCCCTCTTTCTCTTTGACTTACGTGAGTGGATATATTTGAGAAACCAGAAAGGGGCAGAGTGTTGAGCTCAAATTTAGACCGGGAGCATCCTTTCAACATCGATGTAAGAAAGTGCTGTTTGGGATGCCTTTTGGGTTTTTCAACCCAGTTAAAAGCATTGATTATAAGAATCAGCTGATTAATCTATTGATTTTATGAAAATCCATTTTTAAAAGTTTCTAGTCCCTCAAATAAGTGATTACCTGGTATTTTTCATCGGGGTTTTAAAATGAAGAGTGGAAATAAATTTGCTACAAGAGCGTGTTTAACAACCTCTTCAAAATCTGACGGTAGCATTAGTCATCCAAATATTTTGTGAGTGCGGCTTCAAACCCTCCATCACTTGTGTGGGTGGAGAGTCGGTTGTTGTTCGTAGTTTGGTAATAACTTTGCATGGAGCTGTTTCTCTGACATGAGTGCCGCCCACGGGAACGTGAGGGAAGCCAGGCTTTCCCTATGAAACTTCCCTCATTTTTGAGGAGGCAGCACTTTCCGTCTGATTGCGTTTAATGGATTGTCTGCTTCCTGAGAAAAACCTGCATTTTTAGGAATTGAAATTGTCATGTGATATCCCTGTGTGAATTAAGCCATGTTATGGGTGACACTGTGAGATTTTAGTGTCCTCCTGCTATCCTGTATCGTAATATCATAATTCCCAAACAGTCTCGTGTGCGTTGCTCAGTGTCACTGTGCTTGTGAGTACCATGTTTTGGCTACATCTGTGCTGTGGCCCGGCCGCATGTGGCCCAGCACATTTTATTAGGTTGATGCGAGACCATTACCAGTAGAGTTTGCCTGGAGCTATATACACAGGGGGGTTTGGGTCTGTGCCTCTGGCCTGTATATTTAGGATTCAGATGAAAGCTTTATGAGAACAGAGAGTTTGGTTTATCTTCATTTTTACTGATACAGAACTGGGGTTTAGTTATAATCCGTTATTGATTAACTGTGATCAAAGCGGACAGTGAAGTCCAAATACTGACACAGAATTTGAGTCAGCAACCAGAATTTCCCTAACCTGTAGAAGTATTCCAGAGGCGTTATTTTTGTTTAGCAGGAGAACATCCTTGCACCGTATGATGATCACATTAGCATTTTATAGGCACCACAGCTGTCTGAGCATCAAGTAATAATGGTTCAAATCCATCCATTCACACATCTAGCTAGCCAGCCGGACGTGTGTTCGGCACAGAGAGTTACAGAACACCAGTTGTGTTCCTGGCATTGGAGCTTGACAACGGCATTCTGCATAGACTTCAGCAAATTGGCACTTGTCAAGAACCTAGCCATCTTACTACACATAGTCTCCTAAGGAAATGAAACACGGAACATAGCAGAAGTGTATTTAGTCTTAAGAAGAGGCTTGTAGGAGCCTCTGGGTGGCTCAGTTGGTTGAGTGTCCAACTCTTAATTTCGGCTCAGGTCGTGATCTCACAGTCATAAGATTGAGCCCCGCTGCATGGGATTCTCTCTCTCTCTCTCTCTCTCTCTCTCTCTCTCTCTGCCCCTCTGCCACTCACGTGCTCTCTCAAAATAAATAAATAAGCTTTTTAAAAAATTAAAAAGAAAAGGCTTATAAACACAGCTGGTTGTTCAGCTATTTCCGGCTCAGGTAGGAGGGTTCAGAGAGAGAGAGTAGTGTCCCAGTACATCTTGGTTTGCCTGTGTGCAAGGATCCCCAGACTTAGGGGTTCCAGAGTTTTGATATCGCCTTCTTGGGGTCTTACCTTCATTGGCATCGATGACCTGAAAGGTAGCCATTGCCAAGTGACTGAAGGAAAAAAGATGTGGTTGTGATTACTCTGGCCTCTCCATCATGCTGCCGTGTAAAAATCAGTGTCACCTCTGTTAACATCCCTCTAAAATTTGTTTGTATGTCTCACATTTCCTGACTCTGTCAAAAATACTTCCTCCATGAGAATGGTATTTATGATACCATATTATCTTTATTAATTCTTTTGCTGCTTGAATTAAATTTTGCTCTCAGAGGTAGAGGGTTAGAAGATAGAATTGCCTCATTTAAGAGCATTATGTTGATGATGAGCCTCATGCCTCATAAAGGAAAGAGAGAGACCCACTTAGGGCTCTTAGCGTCATTCTATGTATTTGGACATATTTCCTAATTTAGTTCTGAAGTACTTGGCATTCGATGGCAGATTGTATTAAGCAGCATGCGGCGCGCATCCTAATCAGGGAGATGCGAGTGAAGTAATCCAGAAGGCTGGAATATGTTTGACAAGGACGCTCGCTTGGCCCTGCTGCCTCAGCTTACATCACGCTGGAAAATAATTGCTAACGTCTCCTATGATAATCATTCCCTGTACGTGGACGTGAAAAGACTCTGGATTGGTTGCTTGTACTCATCACAAGTTGAAATATCTGTCTGAGAGAGCCTTTGGAATCAGAAACACAGCGCCTTTGGATTCGGGCGCTGCTCTCCCATACCTACACCAGAATAGGACGTCCATTTTTTGCTCAAGGTTCTATTGCAGAGAATAAAAGCTTGGTATTTCACAAGCAGGATGACTGATTTAAAATTTAAAGTTCACAAAGTAAATGGCTAATTTTCTTTTCACTCTGACCTTGAAAGCTTTATCTATATGTTTTGTTCTTGGAGAAATTTAAGAAAATAGCTCTTGAAGACCAGTTTTCTGGGTTCCTGAGTGAGGCTGACCATCATTTTTGCTGTTGCGGTTGTGGCCGTTGTTAATGACTGCTTATTGCACACATACCTTAAAGCTGAATTTCTGATCAGCACTGGAAACAGATGAATCACACATGACATCTACATGGGGGGTTACAGCCTTGTGGGCCTTACCAACAACTTAGCAACATAAAGATGGTTTTCACCTGATCAAAATGGACCCGAGGCCCATGGGGGCCCTCTTCCTGATGTTGTTGAATTTCAGGGTAATGAAAAGTTCTACAGATAAATACATGATGATTGGACCTTCAAATGCAAAAAAAAAAAACAAAAAAACCAAAAAGCACCCAAATGCATTTTGGACACGTTTTAGTATTAAAATGGTGTCAGGAGGTGATATAATTATTCTATATTGTTAATAATAATACTCACATGTCGTGAAAGCCTTGGAGCACCTCCCTAGTCCTCG